TCTCTTCGTTAAAATAGTACTTCTACTAGTTAATGCATGCCTTAACTATTCATAATAACACTAAATAAAAGTACTATTCAACCATTCTTCTTCTGCCATGCATCCTTCACTTTTTATTTTTATTTTTTACACTGTTACTAAATACTACAGACATTAAATTAATCACTACACGGATGAACTGATCAATAGAACACATAGTTTAATACATGGATGATCCAATAACCAGCAACAATTAGTGCCCAGTAAGCCAATTAAGCACTGTCATAAAACCATGCCAATTAAGTGTGATAAAGGTACCAATCATATAAACAGAGAAAAATGCTCAGCTTTAAATACTCTGGTAATTAAAACTTTCATGAGGAGAATGAAACAAGTCAATTTAAGTATGGATGTAAATAAAATGCTCCAAGCATGCCTGTCTATTGTAGGTTCTGATAAAGTCCCAAAATATAACACAAAATCAGAATATTATAGCATGCTAGTCCATATATTTCAAAACCACATAAAAATAGAAGGCGGCAATCATGAAGATAAAATTAATAATCAGGCAAACGCTAAAATCTTGAATATAATTAGAAGCAAAATCTATCAGTACTTTATATTCAATCCGCATGGAATGGAAGTTATGTCCAGTTTTTGCGCTGCATTACAGGGAGAAATAGATATAGATGGGACAGTTAAGCCCAAAGCTATCTCTCTCATTGACGAGCTTTTAAAGCCAAACACTCTTATATACGATCGATGCTACGGCATAAAAAGATATGTAGACGATGATCAACCACTAGACAGCATTATGCCACCCGATGGAAAACCTGATCTGAGAAAAAGGACGTACACTCTGGGCATTTTTTATCAGAGGTTTTCGACTCTAAGCAGTCTACATCAGTTTAACATGGAGAATTTAGATATAGATTTCTACATGTACATTGCTAACTTGGTGTCTTCGACAGACAATAACATGAGCACTTTAAAAAAATACTTGCAGAAAAAAGAGTTCTATAGCTTGAAAGAGCTGTATAGCCAGAAGTCTAAAAAACCTGGCAGGGATCTTGTAGACTATGGATTGAATCTTATTAGCGGAAAAATCGTTGAAATTATGTCCTTGACTAAGAAAATTAAAGATATAGAGAACACGTCCCAAGATAGAACACCCATATCTCAAGAAATTAACAGCATATTTGATGATGAGGAAGACCTAAAGATAGCCCTTTCTGTTTGCGAAAACATAAAAAAAATCAAAAGTGAAAAGGCAATGTACTTTGGCATAATTAGCACCATAGAATACATGGCAAATCATACTGATCTCTTGGACAATGAAAATGGGCAAAAAACTCTGACGATAAGTAGCAAACTAGGCAGCTTTAATAAAGACTACATAAAGAAGAAAAACGGTCTAGCCGAAAAATTAAATGAAGAAATTGCTAAACTGAATAAAGAAATAGAAAAGAAAAAGACAAAGCGTGATCAAGAGAAGATAGACAGAGACCAGGCAATAAAAGAAGGAAAGAGCAACCAAGAGATTGAAGCACTATCTCTCTCTGTCAATAATATGGACAACGACATATACTGGCTAGAGTGTAATAAAAAAAAGAAAGACATGCAGCTTCGTATCATTCGTGGAAATCTACGCCTTTTAGGCTATATAGACCCAGACCAGATAAAATACATGGTTGAGAAGATAAAAGAGTATGGGAAAAAATGGAACATACATGTAGAAGAAAAACCAGAAGAAAGCATGCTGAAGAAGGCACAGGCAATTATACTATCCATAGCTTTGCTTGTTTTTCTCACAGGAGCAGTATTGTTTTTCTATTCAAGGCAAGCAGTGAAGGTTTCTGGAGTTAGTTAGATACAGTCTTTAAAGAGCATCTTGCTATAAATGCATCCTATGAGCATGAGATAAATGTGATTCTTTGAGCCATCTGACCCTAGCTGGTCAATACCACAAATAAACTACATTTATTTATATCTTTTCTTTCTTTTCCACCAATCAATTAGAAATCTACAAAAGACAATACCCATTGCTCTGCACCCATATTATGTTCTGCGCAGCATTAGTTTCCTTCTCCTCTTCTCCTTCTCTCGCTGTGCCCTTCCACTCTACTTTAACCCTTTATTCTTTTGTGCAATGAAAAATAAAACTCTATTAAAATAAAACAAAATACAGCTTTACTCTGTCTAATGTATACATTTCTATTTTCAAATACTTTAATAAATTTATTTTATTTTACTTAGCTGTACTTAACTACTCTGTCCATCAGTACGCAGCGCCCTTGCACTAGCACAAACAATACAACAATAAACTAGACAATAAGACACAGCAGATAAACTGGCACTCTTTATTCATTCCTACCACTTCTCCCTCTGCTTGTACAGGGAGATAAACACATCCAATATCTCGTTGTGTGCCCCCAGATTGCTCTTGCTGCTGTTCACACTTCGATACACTATAAGCTCTGTCTCTGCGTGCGTAGGTCTCCTGGCCTGTTTTACGTACAGCGCCTGGTGCAAAACCTCCACCTTCTTTCTCTTCCTGTTCTTCAGAGAGTTCACTGTCTTTTTCCTCTGTCTTGTCTCCGCTGTGTCTCTGTACTTGCTCAGTGCGCCCAGGCTCTTTCTTCTATCCTCCGTCTCCTTTAGCTTGCCTTCTGCCCTTTCAATCTCTAGCATAAGATACTCCACGCTCTTCTCAGCCATGCTCTCTTCGCTCTCTCTGTGCGGCAGCCATATGTTTATTTTGTGCATAAGACTGTCTGTCCTACTGCCCGCTGCCTTACCATTGCCCAGCCAGAAGCCCTGCAGCTCGCTGTCCTTGTTGTAGTTTCTTGACTCCAGTACAGCAATAAATTTCCTGAATGTCTGCAAGCTTTCTTTTTCCCTGAAAGCACCATCAGGCACGCAGTGCGTGTACTCATCCACGCTGCCCAGCACTCGCACATACCACACAGCCTCAACAGTGCAGCCACTCTTCCTGCCCGTCTGGCAGTGCATGCTGTAGCACTCTGCGCTTTCTACTTCCTCCGGCAGGATGCACAGATTGCTGTAGTACCTGTGCACATCTGAATACTCTGCGCCTCTGTACTCCTGATTATACCTGTACACAGCAGGCTCTCTGTTCTCAAATTCCACCGACTCCAGTCTTTTGTGCTCTCCCACTGCAGTGAAAGGCCCAAGCTCCAGAGCTGACCGCATTAAAGGCGTGAGGAACAGAGGAATGTAAATGCTGTACTCGCTGCGGGGATGCAAAGGCCTGAACTGTGCAAATGTAAGCTCTGGCATGTTTACGTCCTCCTCAATGTGGTAGAATACCACCTCGTACTCTTCCAGCTCCTTCACCGTTTTGCTTCTCTCTTTTTTTTCTTTGATGTACGACCATGTTCTGCTCTGTTTATCTACTTTGAAAGGATGAATAACTTCTGAACGCTTCTCTATTTTATAGAGTGTCTTTATGTACTCTACTATCTCACTGATTGTGTGGAGACACTGTTCTTTTCCACTTTGGTCTACGTACATGGGCATGCACAGCACTCTGTGATGGCCCGTTGTATTGTCCACATAGTGCACATGGTAATGCGCCTGTGCAGGAGATGAAACAGTCCATCTGTCCTCTTCATACGCATACTCTGTGCTCAGCACTTTCTTCCCTGAGCTTTCTGGCGCCATCTCCACCACTACTCTGCACTTCATGTACTTCTGGCTCCTCACCACGCCCTTGCCTACCAGAGTGTACTTTATTCCTCTGTCGTCTGTCTCTGCCTTCTCGTAGAACATAGCAAGAAGAGTGTACATCTTTCTGTACAGCTCAGCAGCTCCTGCTTTCTGCAGCACTTCTTTGCCATGTATGTTCTCAAGAGCCCTGTACAGATTAGTGTATGCACCACCATCCATCTTCTCTTCTCTGTGCATCAGCACCAGCTCTTGCACTCTCAGCAGAACCTCGCAGAGCTGCGAATCACTGACCGAGTCTTCGAGTAGCACAGTCTCCTCAATGAATTCTACACTGATGTTAGAGAAGTCCTTGTACACCTCAGGCAGCACGAGGATCATGCGCACTGCACAGGCTAGGGCGCAGTACTTTCTGTTCGCCTGGTCACCCCACTTATCCTCTCTTATGCTGTAGTGGTTCAGCTCAAGGTCTTCTCGTATGTAAATATCGCCCAGGGTCTCGCTGCACTCGGCTGAGCTGCCTTTAGTGCCGCCTTTCATCGGCCTGTGCTTCTCCAAGTACCCAGCCATCTCTATGAACACGTGCGGATAGTATCCCTTCATGCCTTCTACTATGCGCTTGCACTCGTCTGCGCCTTCGCTCTTGAACAGCTCCTGCAGCCCTAAAAGGTCTCTGTACTTTGTGCTCAGAGTTGTGCTTCTGCTGGCGATGAAGTACCACAGCGCATTCTGTTCTATTTCCTGTGCTGTGCCGCTGGAGTACTCTGCTATCTCCTTTCTCAGCTGCGTCTGGTATGTTTTTATTTTTACTTTGTTCCTCACACTTCCTTCAGAGAGTCTGTAGCTGTACAGCACTTTGTTGTTTGACTTGTATTTTCTTCTGCGCACATTCTCCAGCCTTCTGCTGTTCCACAGGCTGATGCCAATGCTTACTCTTTCCTCTGTACTGCTTGCTTCTCTAGACCGTACCACCTGGCTGTTCTGGGCCAGCTCTATCATATCCTCTGCTCCACTCTCTTTTTCTTGCTGCTGGCAAGAGCTAGAGGCTTTTGCTAGTTTTAATGACGTTCCACTCTTTTTTCTTTTCTTATTTGGCACATGCTTGAGAACAGGCGCAGACAATGCTCCATCTGTTTGTTCTACTTTTCTTTTTTCTGTTCTTCTTGCAGTACCAGCACTCTTTTTGGCTGAGGCAGGAGTAATGCTAGGGCTAGGCTCTTCTATTGTAGGCTGCGCGGGCGGGAAGTACTGGTCTATCCACATATGTATTGGCTGTGCTGCATCGTATATGGAGCTGTTCGCATCCAGCACAATGCTATCAAGGGTCGTGTCATTTGTTCTGTCTATTGCCCCATCTGCTGTTCCCTCTGAATGCTGCAGTGCACTGGGCATGTTGCGTGCCAAGTCAAAAGGGTCTGCATGGGCCTCGTACTGTGTTGTATACTCCCCCATGTGCATGTGCTGGTTTGCTGCCAGCCCATACTCTGTGCAGTCGTAGTATCCGCTCCATGCTGTGCCATCGTCTATAAGTAAATTAGCAGAAGAAAGATACAGCCCATCCATTGCTTCTGCTGTCCTGTGTCCGCCTCCAGATGGGCCAGGATTATTATTATTACTTGTGCAGGGCCCTGCCATGCACTGCCAGTCGGGATAAGGATAGGTGCCTGGCACACTGTCATCTGCGCTAGAAAAGATATATCCACCACTGTCTGAGTTATTAGCAGTGGATAGATCACCGGCAGGAAAGGCGAAATAGTCTGCTGCATTCTCTGCTGTACTTCCTACACTTCTGCCCGCGCATGGACCAGCGCCACTGCTTGCATCCTCGCTAAGACCGCTCCACTCTCCTGTGCATCCCACGATAGAGAAAAAAAGAAGAGCTGTGCATGTGCACAGTATGTTCCTCAGTGCCTGATTTTTCATGCTAAAAATATCATTTCCAGTTATAACTTTCTAGTGCAGGACTGTGCTTCCTGTAGACATAATTAGAAGCCTAGAAGCGAGCTAATTCTCGTAGTGATGTTTTTACTAGCTGTGGAATGGGTCTCTTTGAGTGCACTTTTTGGTGTCTACATCCCTATTTAGAACAGAGTAGCTGTTTGAAGCTGTAGCGTGCATGAAAAGAGAAAATAAAATAAGGCAGAGTGAAAAGTAAAACTGTATGTGCTGTACAGATGTAACTAAGGCGTTAGCAGATGCATCTATAGGTTAAACAGCTTTGCAAGAGAGTGCTAGAGAACATCTGATATTTTATTAGATAGGAAGCTTTGAAAAGTATGCAGTAATACTGCTGATCAATGTATTTTATTTATCTGATCAATCAAACAGATTTCATTAGACTAATCAGTGTACAAAAAATATAACCAATAGAGCATGTGGTTTAATGCATAAAAGATCGAATAACTAGCAACAATTAGTGTGCAGTAAGCTAGTTGGATACTCTTACAAAAATCTGCCAATAATTTGTGATAAAGATACCAATAGCGTGGACAGAAAACAAATCTTGGCTTTAAATACTTCTATAATTAAAAATTTTACAGCGGTAATGAAAGAAGTTAAACTGAAAATAAATGTGAAGAAAATACTAAAGACCTGTGAATCTATTCAGATCACAGATAAAATTGATACCAAGAATAGCCCAGAGCAAAATTTGAGTATACTAAAGAACATATTCAACTATGATACTTTACAAATAGAAAGTAGTTTGTGCAGCGATGAAGAAAAGAAAGACATTGTGGACATAATTGTAAATGATGCATGCCAGTATCTTATATACAATCCAAACGTATTGAATGAACTTATTTCGCCTAATACATTGAAGGATGAAAATAATGAAAAATTTGAACTTACGTACGTCAATCTGCTTAATGAATTCATAAAATCAAATGCGCTTATATATAGGCCAGAGCACGGCATAAGTAGACAAATTAGCAAGGATGGATCGTTAGAAAATCTTATCCAAAGTGATAACAGCATTGACACAAGCAGTAGAACTTTTACACTGCAGATCGATGATACAAAATTTTCAAGCCTGAAAGACATGGTGCAATCAACCTTGGAAGACATGCACAGAAAATTTTTCTATAATGAAGCTGACTTCTTTAATATTAATATACAGGATCTAAAAAAATTTTTTAAGGTAGACTACTGCAGTTTAGAAGATCTGTACAACAAAGAATATAAAGACACTGGCATTCCATTGGTAGACTACGGACTGAAGATCATCCACGAAAAAAATTATAAACTTAATGATCTATGTAGTAGAATTAAAAGAAGAGGTATATACAGAGATAAGGTAGGGGTAGATGAAATCATTAGCCCATTTACCCAGGAAGAGTTAACAATAATTATTTCGATTAGACAAAGAAAAGGAAGTATTTTTGATGAAAAGAGAAACCACATGGGTATAATTAATGCGATAGAATATATGATAAATAGCACCGATCTCTTAAAAGACAAAAATAGATCAAATATACTAGTGATAAACGCAGATTTAAACAAGTTTCATGAAAACTATGTAGGTGGGAATAATGGTCTAAAGGAGATAATAGATAAAAGAATAAATGAATTGGATGAAGAAATAGCGGATAAGAAAGAAGCTTTAGAAAAAGAAGAAATAAAATACAAACAGGCGATAAAAGAAGAAAAAAGCAGAGAAGAAATTAAAAAACTAGAGTATTCTATTAATAATATAAAAAATGAAATATATTCACTAGAATACAGCAGCAAGAAAGAAAATATACGGTATAAAAATGTTACAACATATATACGTTCCTCACATGACCTAGCGCCAGAACAGCAGCAATACATACACAAAAAGATAAAAGAATTTGCAAGGCAACGGAAAGTAAAGATAGTAACAGATAAAGAAGCAGCGCTAGAAGAGCTAAAAGTGCCTGAAGAAATGAAAGTGGAAGAAGCGCCTGAAGAATATCAAATGATAGAAACAAAAGAAGCACCTCAAACAGCAGATCTAGAAGAATATCACATAGTAGAATCAGGGGATCTAGAAGGAAGAGAATCTCTCCCAGTAAAGCCAACAAATACAAAAAATATAATTAGCGCTATGGGTCTTGCATGTCTTTTTTTACTAGTAGCACGGTATGCTGTCAATTCAAAATCTAAAACAGAAAACTCTGCTGATGTTGACAGTATATTAGACTGCGAAGAAGCATCACCCCATGAAAAATCACCGGCTAAGAAACAAAAAGATTCTAACGCATCCTAGCCTATATCCTTCCAGCTGGTTTGCATCCAAAATAAATTGTAGTTAAGTTTAAACATCACAAGTTATCTATCGTTGGGCTATTTTCCGTGCTCTGTGAGAGAAAGAGCCACCCTATTCAACAATTCAACTGGTTCTCTTATAAAATTTTGCCAATAATCTATCCAGCAAGACCAATCATATAGCTCGAATATTTAAAATATTTTCTGTGGCTAAAACTTTTACAATAGATACATGAAAGAAGTCAAGTTAGAGATAAATGTGGACAAAATACTAAAAGCATGCAAGGCCATCAACACAGAGGGGTCAAATGTGCACCTCAGCAAAAACACTCCAAAAGAGCACTTGTCTATGCTAGAGGAGATGTTCAAAGACGATAATCTGAAAATAGAAAGTGCGCACAATGATAAAGAGAAGGAATGCATCCTAAAAATAGTCAAGAGCAGAGCCTCTCAGCACTTTGCATACAACGCTAATGGCGCAAAGCACATGTCTGAGCTACACGATGCATTAATGGGCAAAGAAGGCGTGGACTTTCAAACTGCATTCATTTCCGTGCTTGAGGAGCTCATAAAACCAAATACGCTTATATACAGCCCAGCGCACGGAATAAAGAGACGGGTTGACAGAAATGAGCCGCTAGAAAATATAACCCTGTCCGACGGAACTGTTGATCCAAGCCCTAGAGCATGCACACTGGAGATAGACGATGCAAGGTTTTTAGGCCTGGAAAGCCTCCTCCAGTTTACTGAAGAGGGTCTGGACAGAAAAAACTTCTCTGCTGTCTCTTGTCTGCCAGAGTCAAAAGACATAGTATCAAACATCCATTGCATCGAGGAATACTATAATCTGCCCAGCCTGTACACTAAGGAATATAAAGACACTGGCATTCCATTGGTAGACTACGGGCTGAAGATCATCCACGAAAAATACGATGCAATTAAAAAGCTGAATAAGGAGATCGGAGAGACAGAAGCCAACAGTGATAAAAATCAAAAAGAAAAGATTAATGAAAACATTGAGACTCTGTTTGGTTCTGGCGGCTTAGATGTAGTTGTTTCTGTCCTTGACAGTCTAGAAGAAATCAAGCATGAGAAGATTATGCACAGCAAAACAATCAAAGCAATAGAGTGCATGGCAAGCAACGGCATATTCTTGGATGAAACAGACGGAAAAAACAGACTGCAGATGACCAATAACTTAAATTATTTCTACAAAAAATACATAGACAGCACAGGCTTAGTTGAGAAGTTAAACAAGAAAATAATTGCAATGGATAGCAAAATAAAAGATGAAAAAGTATCTCTTGATGCAGAAAAAGCAAAATACAAAGAAGTAGAAGCACACTTAAAAGCACTGGAAGGCGCAGAAAACTCTGACTCACAGGAATACGAGCAAGAAATAAGGGTGAAGAATGGTGAGATGGAAACAATAAGACGCACTGTTAACAATCTAGAGCATGAAATCTATTTGCTAGAATGTGAAAGAGAAAAAGAAAATATGGACCATAAAAACATTGAATTGGTTCTACTTAGCCTAGATCTACTATCTCGTATGAGCTTAAACCAAAAGAAGTATTTCGTGAAGAAGATAGAAAAACATGCCAAAATGCTGGGTGTAGAGGTGGAAACAGTGGGGCCTTCTATACACGAAGAAGAAGAGATATCTGGTGAAAAATACCCCTTTCTAACAGAAACAACTAGAACAAAGATAATTAAAGCATTTATGTTTATATATGCTTTTATAATAATAACAATACTGCTTATTCATACAAAGAATGATCTGATAGAATATTTCAATAGCTGATTAGCTATCGCTCATCTATGAAAGAGTGTCTGATGCTGATTATAGTATACTAAGAAACCCGAGAGCACTAGAATAGATTGGCCTATATTCTTCCAATTACAAGCATTCTAAATAAACTACACCTACATTTGCAAATATTTTTCTGCTGCCACAGACGGCATAATAAATAATACTCGAGCTGTCCCTTGGCAATGTGCATGCCTGAAGCCATCAAAGAAGAATTGCTCTCTGCAGATCTGTGTTCTTTATTTGGCTTTCCCCTATTCTCGCCAATTACTCTCGCCACACAAATAGTAATGTGAGCTAATTGAATAGCAATGGGTAGCCCTAAACAGAAAATGAGTTGTGTATGCGGCAAATACAGAATCCTAGAGAGGAAAAGCTTTTAAGGCTAAATTATTTTTACTCTTTAAATTTTAGAGCATTCATGAAAGAGGTTAGATTAGAGATAGATGCTGATGGAATAGTGCAGAACTGTCTGTCTACTAGCAGTAAGCATACTATAGACAGCGATATTACAGACAACAACAAAATAAGGTATTTTGCCGTGCTGCAAGACATACTTAAAAAGAACCTAAAAATAGAAAGCGACGCGTGCAATGAAGAAGAAAGGAGAGATATTTTGGACATAGTTAAAAAGAGCATCTACCAGTATTTTATATACAACATCTATGGAGTAGCGGCCATGACTAACTTACACTGTGCTCTGAATAGTAGAAGCATCCAGCTTCTTAAAAGCGCGTCTACCTCCTTAATTAACGGCATTATAGAACCAAATTCGTTTATATACAGCCCAGCGCGCGGAATAAATAGAAAAAATGGCAATAATAAAACACAAAAAAACATAGACTCATTTACTAGAATTCCTGACCTAAGTACCAGAGCATGCACGCTGGATATTGGTGGAGCAAACTTTTTGGGCCTCAAGAGCCTGCTCCGATTTACTTCAGAGAGCCTGGATAGAGAGTCTTTCTCTTATGTTGCAGGCATATTGGACACAGTGAGCATGGACATTCTGAAAAAATACGCACTAGACAAAACGTGCTACACTTTAGACGAGCTATACGTCCTGCATAAAGACAGCATACCGCTAGTAGACTACGGGCTGAAGATTATATGCGAAAAATATCACGAGATCGAAGAGTTGGTTCTGCTAGTCAGAGAAATAGAAGGCATTTTGAATAGACCGCAGGAGATAGTTAAAAAAGAAATTTGTAGAGTGCTTAGCCTAGAAGACCTACCAATACTCACTTCCATCAGGGACAACATAGAAAAAATTGCACATGAAAAAAGAATGCACAATTGCATGATCAAGCTAATAGAGTACATGGCAAACGAGACTACGCTCTTAGTGTGTGCAGATGAGAAAAAGGTGCTGAAGATAGACACAAGCTTCGAAAGCTTTTATGAAGACTATGTGGCCAATACGCGCCTGGAAAAAGTAATACACATATACAAAGTTGAGCTAGAAGAGGAGATAAAAAGAAGGACAGACGCGCTCAATTTAGAAGCCAGAGAATACATTGAAAAAAAGACGAGTCTACGAAAATGGAAAGAAGCAGCTGTCTGCGACTCTCCGGAGCATGCTCAGACAGAAAAAGAAATGGAAGAAGAGATGGAAAAAGCAAAGTGCTCCATTGCTAGGCTAGAAAAGGAGATATATTCATTAAAATGCGAGATAAAAAAAGAAGACCTGCAGCTGTATAACATTCGAGAGCTCTTTGACAGCTTATATTTCTTGTCTGCCACGAGCCCAGGCCAGAAGCAGTACATGTTCGAAAAGATAGAGGAATTTGCAAAGGTGCTGTATGTAAAAGTAGTAAAAGTACCAGAAGACGTGGAAGAAGCAGCAGAAGAAAGAAAGCTCTTCTTTTCAGAATTCATCCGGGAGAACATAATTAAAATTCTTATATTAAGCATTGTTTTTATAAAATTAACAGCATTATTGATTATCTCTGCAAGGAATGAAATAAAACCTGCAAATATCAACTAAATATTAATATTGACCCATAAAAGAGCATTGTGATGGACTGTAGCATACTAAGAAAATTAGAGAAGGATACAAGAGTGTCTATAAATACCACGAGTTTTGTAAAGCACGGGAATGAGAGACAACAATAGACTACAATTAAACTCGCCTTATGTTTATCTGAAGATTATCTCGCACATGCAACTCTATCCATGAAAAGGCACTACGCAAAGAAAGCCTATACACACTTAGTTAGCGTGTTGCTATTTTCTGTCTAGTCTGTCTAGTCTTTCCTTACTTCTATTTTCTTATTTTTACTCTATTTATTTCTTTTCCAGCTGGAAGTAAAACTCTGCTAAAATAAAACACAGAATAGCAAAACTCTACCAGTACACATACTTTTTTTGCAATTTTTATTTTATTATTTGCTCATCTCTTAGCTGTTCTATCTACATCTACCGCTTCTAAGTGATCAAAATAGCACACAACAGCACGTACTGGCTACAAGACAAACAGCACAACAAAAGACAATATTTAAAAGAGGGCTGTTTATTCTAGCTTTCATCGTTCTTCTTCCTAAAGTTATATCCCGAGATAAAAACATTGAGGATCTCGTTGTGGGCCCCTAGGTTGGACTTGCTGCTGTTCACATTGCGGAACACTATAAACTCTGCCTTTGCATCAGGCCTCTTAGAAAGCTTTGTGTGCACCTCTTTGTATAGATTGTGCAGCTTCTTTTTGATGTGGCTTTTTTTAACGCTTTCCGACTTCTTTTTTAGCCTTTCTTCTCTTGTGTCGGTAGACTTATTGAACCTGCCCAAACTCTCCTGCTTCTTCTCTGCCTCTTCCATAGTTTTTTCAATTTGGTTGATCCTCAGTCTAGCCGCCTCCAGTTCTTTTCCGTCTATGGGCTTCTTATAGCAGTTTTTGTCTGGCAGCAAATTAAACACTTTGTGCCCTTTCCATGCTGCACCACTGCAGCCTGCTGTATGGCCATTGCTCAGCCAAAAGCCCTGCAGCTTGCTGTCCTGGCAGTACTCTCTTGACTCTATTTCTGCGACAAGAGCGCCAAACTTCTTTGAGCCTTCCTCTCTTGCAAAGCCGCTGTCTAGAATGCAGTGTGTGTATTCATCTACGCTGCTGGGCATTCTTACATACCACGCTGCCTCAATAGTGCCATCTTCTTGTCTAGCTGCTTTGCAGTCCATGATGTAGCAGTCCATGCTCTCTTTTTTATTTTGCAGTATATACAGGTTGCTGTAGTACTTGTGCAAATTTAAGTAGTGCATCCCTCCGTATGTGTGGTTGTAGGTGTACGTGTCTGGCTTTCTGCCCTCAAACTCTATCGAGCCCAGCTCTTTGTGCTCTCCTAGCGCGGCAAAAGGCCCAAGGTCAGCAGCCGACTGCATCAGAGGCGTAAGGAAGAGCGGCACACAAAAGCTGTCGTCATCGTGGGATATTAGCGGCATAAACTCTGCAAAAGTAAACTTTTTCTCTCCTAGGTCCTCGTCAATGTGGTAAAATACTATCTCGTACCCTGCCAAGTCTTTCGCCGTCTTACCCCTCTCTTTCTCTTTGATGTAGGACCACTCTGTAGTTTCCTTGTTTAGCATAAATGGGTGTATGATGTCCAAGGTCTCTTCTATTCCATATAGCTCCTTTATGTGGTCCACAGTGTCGCTAATTGTGTGCAGATAGTGCCTCTCTCCTCTTTCATCTGCATACACAGGCATGCACAGCTTTCTGAGCTCGCCTCTTGCATTGTCCACATAGTACACATGATAGTGTGCACATATGTCAAGTGAAATACTCCACTTGTTATATGCAAGCGAATACTCTGCGCTCAGCACTCCCCCACCCGTGTCTTTTGATCCCATGCTTGCTCTCACATTGCATTTTATGTACTTCTGGTTTGATATTATGCACTTGCCTGCTAAACTGTGCTTGCTGTATCTGCTAACTATCTCAGCGTTCTCATAGAAGTCTGCAAGGATTGTGTATATGGCTCGGTACAGATCGACAGCTGTCAGCTCCTGCAGCACCTCTTCGCCGTGTATGTCTTTGAAGACACAGTAGAGCTCATCGTATAAAAAAACAGCCCTTTCTTCTTTCACGTGCGGCTGCATCAGCTCTTGTACTTTCAGAAGGATTTGGCTGTTCTGTAGGTTTGTAATGAAGATATCTGACGTCTTGGTCTCTTCTATAAAATTTGGAGTGATCTTGCAGAAGTCTTTGTACACCTCGGGCAGCTTTGTAATCATGCGCACTGCCCATGCCAGGGCGTAGTACTTTTTGTCCATCTGTTCAACGGCATTGCTCTCTTCCAGAGCATAGTAATTTGGCTCGAGGTCCTTCCGTATGTAAACATCCCCAAGCCTTTCGCACCACCCTATTGAATGGCTCTCGCCATCGCTTTTCATCGGCCTGTGCGTTTTTATGTACTCTATCGTGTCGTCAATCAGTCCAGGATAGAACCCCCTTAGCCTCTCCAGTATTTTTCTGTTTTTGCCATTCTTAGACAGCTCTTGCAGCCCAAGAAGGTCTTTGTACTTTGTGTTTATGGTTGTGCTTCTTCTTGCAATAAAGTGCCACAGCGCATTCTTCTCTGTTTCTGGTATGATCTGCCGAGAAAAGTCTTCAATGTCTTTTCTAAGAGCTGCTTGGTACGACTTAACTTTTATTTCCTCCTTTATGGATCTTTCGTCAACATTGTGTGTGTATATAGACTTTTTGTTCAGTTTGTAGCTCTGTCTCTTGGCTATTTTTAATTTTATGCTACTGCATGGGCTCGTGCTAGGATCTGTACTCCCATCGTCATCATCGTTCGTTGCTCCAGACTGTGGCATCTGGCTGCCCTGGATAGGCAGGTCTCTGTCTTTCCTATTCCTCTTAGCTTCCGCTATAGATTGGTGACCATAGGGGGTTAATGAGCTGTTTATTTCATCTGTCTTTCTCTTTTCTCCTATAGACGGCCTAGCAGTACTGTTCTCTACTTCGTTAAAAGGACTCTCACCAGCACGCGTTATTTCCTTGTAGTGCTCAGGCTGGCTGTAGCACTGTATCATATCCTCCATTGTTCTGAACTCCTCCAGGCCTTTCCAGATAGAACTATCTTTATCTAGGTTGATGAAACTAAGGTCTGCGTTTTCACTCGCTGCTGCATGCCCATTCATTGATGGTGTGATAGTAGTATTTTCTGCTCCATGAAAAACGCCCACATCCATACCAGGATGTGCCATGCGCTGCTGTTGTCCAAGCTGCACGGGCTGTCTAGCAATACTCTCTTCTTCAAAAGGCCTGCACCCCTGCCACTCTGAACCGAACATAGTTAGATCAATGTAGTCTAGACCTGTGCTGTGCGCTCCATCCGCCACAATATTTTCACTACTCGGCATGCCATGCATATTGTATGCCCTGCTGTGCACACTCTCGCACATACCCGGCTCTGCTGTGCATTGCTCTGTTTGCGTAGATTGGTGTGCCATTACATCCACTGTGCTGCAGTAGCCTCCGCTCCAGGCTGGATCACCATGCACAGACAAACCAAAGCTTGAAGAGCACGGACTGCCCATGCCAGCTCCTCTGCTCCAGTCCATGTACGGCCCATCGCTGTTCTCCACCCACGGGATAAAGGGGCTCTCACCTCCTTTGCACCCTGCAATAAATAGGGAAAAGACAGTAACTGCATTTAATAATGCGACCCGTCCCTGATTTTTCATAGAAAAAAATCATTTTGCTCCTATTTATGATTTTCAGTTAAGTCAGGGCTGCTTTGCTATACCACACAAACTTTTTGTACAAATACAGTCCAATTGCATATACTAACTTGAAAGAACAAAGCTACAATAATTAAAGAGTGATTGATACATTCAAGGCAAATAATGCATGGCTATGTAAATCATTATAGCAACTATGAAGCTTATGAATATAACACACGTTTTATGGAACATTGAGAATGAAAGATGGCAGAAAATAACCACTACTGATCATGAGCTTAGTTGAAGATTATCTAGCATACACCTATCTAGCCATTGAAATATATGATAAAGCTCTTAACTTTAAGTAATTTTATTGCTATATATACATACAATAAAAATAAAATCTTCCTGTCTTAGGAAGCCCCTGATCCTTAAATTATTTTTTCACAATTAGAATTTTTGTAATGACCATGAGAGAAGTTAAACTAACAATCAATGTTGAAGAAATACTAAAGGAGTACCAGTCTATGGATAGAAACGATGCATCTATCACATCAGTTAGAGAGATAAGCCAAATGGTTATACTGAAGCGCATAATTAAGAATAATCTAAAAATAGAAAGCAAGGAGCTTAGTGAGAAAAAGAAGGAAACTATTCTAAAAATAATCGAGAATAATATTTTTCAGCATCTTATATACAGTTTAAATGAAGGTTCTATTATGCGAACTATGGTATCTGAATTACTGTATGGAACTGAAGAAAGAGTTAAAGATGCATTTAAGCCCCTAGCTAATACACTTATAAATCCAGATCCGCTTATATACAATCCTGAACATGGAATAAATAGACAGTTTGATATGCATGGAAAACTAGATAATATAGTTCTATCTAATGGAGAGCTCGACCTAAGCACTAGAACATGCACTTTGATGGTTGACGATACAAGCTTGGAAAATATCCTCCAACTTACCTCAGAGAGCCTGGATAGAGAGAATGCTTATTTTGTCTCGAATTCAATGAATTTAAAGGACATAGAACTTTTTAAAAAGTATACATCTGTAAAAGGACGCTACAGTCTAGATGACCTATACACAAAAGAAAAAGACAAAGTTTTATTGGTAGACTACGGATTAAAGCTTATTTACAAAAAGTATCATTTAATCGATGGTCTAATTAAGAACATCAAAGAAATAGAAAGCTCTGACAACAATAAAGTACATAATATACCTAAAAAACTCAGCAATTTGTTTAAAGATAAAGAGTTAGAAGTAGTCCTCTCTATTCTCAATAACGAACAGAAAATCTGGAGTGAAAAGATGGTATACAACAATATGCTTAAATCGTTTGACTATATGGCAAGCAACACCGATATATTAGGTGGAAAAGGTGAGCCAAAGGTGCTGAAAATAAAAGCAGACTTGAGCAACTTTAGTGAAGACTATATAGATGAAAATGATGGTTTGTTAGAAATAATGACTGACAGATTAGTAAAACTACGTGATGAAGGAAAAATACTATACAAGTCTGTTGACAACGAAAAAGAAAAGTGGGGTAAAAAAGAAAAGAGTCTGACAGAGTGGAAAAACACAACCGATCTTGATCCAGACTCGCAGGAGTACCAGGAGGCAGTAAGAAAAGAGGAAGAAGAGATAAAAAGTATACTACACGAAATTAATTTCCTAGATAATAAGATATATTTATCAAACTTTGATACTGAACAAGCAAGATTATTTCATAGAGATATTAATATTTTTCCAGTTATCTCAAGTATATTACCTGGCTTAAGCCCAGTTCAGAAACAGCACATTCTCAAGAAAATGAAAGAACTTGCAAAACTACTAAACGTACGAGTGGTAGTAACAGACGAGCCAGAATCAGTCGAAAAAATGGAGGTGGATGAGCTAATTGAGCAGCACCAAACACTAGACATGTCTGGTAAAGCAGAGTCTAGCACAACAGGTGCAAAGGCTCGGACAAGCACTCTTGGAAAAGTATTAGCTGGTGGCCTTCTTGTACTCGGATCAATGGCATATGCCAACCATCATTCGAAGAGCAAACCAACAACTACTGCAAACAGTGACAGCGATAGTTTATATCATGTTATGGACAGCAGACAGCTGAGAAACATGAACAGTCATAACATGTCTTGAGCTATCTGGCTTAGCCAGCTACTATCAAAATAAATTAGTTTTAAGTTTATTGCTTTTACGTTGCCAAACCATAATCTTTTTGGGACATACTATCACAGAAACTATAAGAGGTAATATGGAACACTATTAAAACTCCGAATAGAGTATCAAGTATTCTCTTATGGTTTCGAAGAAAAAGCAGCTCATACAGCTATCTAGTCATTGAAAGATGTGCTAAAGCTCTTAGCTTTAACTAATTTTATTGGCATTATATGGGCATAAAAAATAAAAATAAAATATTTCCGCCTTAGGAAACCCCTGCTCCTTAAATTATTTTTTTGCTATTAAAATTTTGTAATATGGCAATGAGAGAAGTAAAACTAATAATCAATACTGAAGGAATACTAAAGAAGTGCCAGTCTATGGATAGAAATGATGCATCTATCACATCAGTTAGAACAATAAGTCATATGAATATACTAAAGCGCATACTTAAGGATAATCTAAAAATAGAAAGCAAGGAGCTTAGTGAACAGAAAAAGGAAACCATTCTAAAAATAATCAAGAATAATATCTGTCAGCATCTTACATACAGTTTAGATGAAGATTCTACTATGCGAAATATAATATATAAATTACTGAGTGAAACTGAAGAAACAGTTAAAGGTGCATCCATCTCCTTAGCTAATACACTTATAGATCCAAATCCGCTTATATACAACCCTGAGCATGGAATAAATATACAGTTTGATGCGCATGGAGAGGTAGATAGTGTATCTCTATCTCGTGAAGAGCTTGATCTAAGTGCTAGAACATGCACCTTGATGGTTGACGATAATACAAACTTGGAAAATATCCTTCAACTTACCTCAGAGAGTCTGGATAGAGAGAATGCTTTTTTTGTC